TATTTTTTTGTATAAGATATGTAAAAGCAAAACATCGCTATCACACAAAAAATGCCAATTTTTGCGAAATTAATCAAAATCTAATGTACGACAAGTAATTATAAAGCAATATTGCAGTCAATATTCTACTGCTTGTTATGTTTGAACTCAATTAAGCGAATAATCATTTATTATAAACTTTTTTATATTTAACTTTTGTTTTACTCTTTTTATAATTTCTAATTAATGATTGATTTTATAAGAGTATAGATATACAAGAATTTTGTGTTCAAATAATATAGTGAAAAGCAAATGATTTTTTTGAGCTCAAAAATCTGCATAAAACATAACATTTTATGTTAAAATACGGTTCAAAATTGAAAAACAAGTTCTTAATTAAAGTTCTTTAATCAAACTCTTTAACTCAAATTAAATTATATGAGAAATTAATTGAAATTTTTTATTTACTCTAAAGCCATGTAAATCGCTTAAAACGCTTGGGTTTCATCAGACTATTTGAAATTTTAACAAATATGTTAATAATAATTATAATAGTCATATACAGTAATATAATTTTTAAATATATTAGATGTGTTGTCAACAAAATTACAACATTTTAGTTGTGATTTTTAATGAAAAAATTAGTTCAATATTTAAATTAAAATGAAAAATAACTACAAAATATAGTGTATTTTAAATGATAAATATTTCATAAAACCTAAAGAATAATATAAATGGGTTTTCTGTGCTTTTCAAAAAAATAACTCATTAATATTAATTAAAATTATTATAAAATATTTTCAGCAATTTTACAGTTGTTGTTACATTAAGTTTCTTAAAATTATATGAGAACTATATTAAATGTGATTACAAATTGATGGCTAAAGCAAAAAACATTTATTAAAGACATCTTTAACAAAAATATTTTTGATATTTTATACTTATATTATTTAAAGAAAAATTTTTAAATTACAGGTAGTCTTTAAATTTTATATAAACTTACTATATATATAATATTGTAAACAAAAGGTAATACATCCTAAATATTTGTTTTTAAAATATATATTAAATAAATATAATAAATGTGGTCCTAATTGAATGAAGCATTTAAATTAATTCTCTGTATAATATAGTGATATTTTATTATCTCATTTAAAGTCAAGTAATATAGTTATAGTTGTTTTATATAGGTTTTAAAATATACAGACATCTATTAAATATATTGTTTACGGCTTAAAAATATAAATACTCTCCTGTTTTGTGGCAAAACTTTGAACTCCTCTCTCTCTCTCTCTCTCTAAAAAATAATTTGCTTAAATGTACTAAACTATTACTTTTTATACAATAAATATTTAATTTAATTGCTTTGAAAATAAATTTATGGAAACTTTTTTTTCTATATTTTTTATCATTTCGTTTCAAACCAATGAATTCACTTTATTATTATTTTTAATTTAGTTTGTCATCCAATATAGCATTTAGATTACCAGAGCTTAGTGTTATTCTTTAATTATATTTTAAATAAATATAACATTTAACTTATTTATATTTTTATTATTAATATTATATTTTTAAATACAAAGAAAATCATTTGTAAAAATGTCATTTTTATAAATTTTCAACTTATTTTGTCTTTGATAGTATTACAATATAATATTTAAATAAATGTACAGTAATTTATGATTTGTTATTAACTGAACTTTGATTTTTAACAAAAAAAACTTGAAAACATTGATTAAATACAATTATATTTATAATAAAAATAAAATTTTGATAAGTGATAAAAGAGATAAAATAATTTGTATTATTGTATTTGTTTAAAAATGCTTAACTTTTGATAATATATAAAATTGTTGTATTATATAACTCTTCAAAATTTCCAAAGACAAATTTAAATATGGATTTTAAATAATTTTAAAAGTCTACAACTAAAACATAATTGTTTAAAAACGTTAAATGATTATGATAATTATTTTTAATGAAATGTTTTTTTTAATTTTAAAAACATAATTTAAGTTACGTAATATTAATTTCATAGTTTTTTTAACCGAGTTTACTTAATTTAAAAACAATACATTCTAATTTTATATTACACAAAAGATTTTATGGGATAATTTTTAAAATATAAATCATAGTATGGATTAAATTTTAATTTTTTTAAAACAACAAAACAAAATATAGTGTATTATATTTAGTTTAATGCATAATATATTCAAACAAAACAAATTATAAATTATATTATAAAGTAGATTAGGAATTAATTAAACACTTGAATCGATTTATATCTCTCACTCTCTAAGATATATAATTAAAATAAAAAATATTTAATAAGAAAATGCCTTCAAATAATCGGAGGCCAAGTTTGTTATGTAAATATAATATACATAAACAACAATACAGTATAAATTTGAAGTTTTGTAAAATGTCAGTCTATATAATGCATAAGAGATTTATATTTTTGAAATTTTAATTAAATTTTTCTTTTATATTTTTAAATAAAAAATTTTGGGTGCATTTCATTAGATAAAATAACTACAATTATAATGAAGAAGAAAAATTATAATTGTTTTTAATAATATGACCCAAAAAATTATGAATATTTTTCATATATTATAAGTTTTCGTTTAATAAATTTCTTATTGTCTTAATTTATGATTTTTTAATTGTTCTTAACTTTATCTTTCAATTTAAGTGTTTATTTAACTTTTAAAAACTATAATGACTACAAAATAATTGCTTATATATTAATAAATTCAAACACATATCATATAAAACCAATCGTCTCTCAGGTGATACACACAATTTAAATTATATTTTATTAAATTATGCAATAATGCAATACTAATGCTAATAGTTGTGTAAAATAAAAAGTTATTATAATAAACATTACTTCAATAACTCCAATGAGTGAGTGAGTGAGTGAGTGAGTGAGAGAGAGAGAGAGAGAGAGAGAGAGAGAGAAATATATGAGAAACACAAAGAGAATAACATTTGTATAAAAATATTGAAATACAATGAAAAACAATTAAATCTGTATGTATTATAAAAATTTAAGCATTTCTATTTGGTAACGAATAGCAACCGATTATTTAGTGAACACTATTTTAAATAATAATAACAATAATAATAAAAACATTACATATGTATATATTTATAGTAAAAGCATTTAAAACGGAATAAGTTATAAAATGTTTAGTGAATTACTCTATAGAAACACAAAAACTAATTTGTATACCACAGTACTGTACAACACTACTAATAAAGTAATGTATGGATAGAGTGAGAGAGAGATAACAAACAATAAAATTATATATATATATATATATATATGTTCAGTACTATATTACTGTATATTATATCATATATTAGTGTATCAAGTTTGAGATAAGCATCACAAATACATGTTTTCATGTATTGCATACAATTTAAACGCAAAAATAACACAATCAATGTTTCATATGAGTCAAAACTTTTTAGGAGTGAGACGAGAAAAAATTATTTTTCGATGAATTATTGCTCAAAATTTCAAATTAATGTTTTTGCTGACATGAATCACAAATTAAAAATACGCCCTTTTTATCAATTTTTTTATATATATATTATACTATTTTTTATTTTATACTTAATATGGATCAGAGATGAGAGTATTATTCTTTCTCTTGTTTTTTTTGAGTCCGCCTTCAGTTTAATTTAAAAATGTAATGTAAAATGAATTAATACTATTAATAAACTTTTACAATACTGTCCCTCTATTAGTCTATCAATATTATGAAATTATATTATGTAATTTAAGATCGTATCAACTAAAACAAAAACCTTGTAATAACTTTTAAAATATATAAATTACTTTTAAAAACTAAAAACTTATTAACTATTTTAATTGAAAAAGGGAAAGCAAACTATAGTTATTATTTTATAAACTAAATATTAATATTATTAATATTTATTATAAAACATAAACCAAAAGTTTGAGACTCATTACACAAAATATATTTCATATAAAAGAAGTTTCAAACAAATATTGTAATAAAAATTAATTTGAATTAACATTTTCATTGTTTGTTCTAAACTTATAAAATAAACAAATATAATAATCTAAAAAAACCTTATCATAAATTACTTTATTTTTTGTCAACATTTGAAAGCCTATTATACGATGGCTTAAGTTTTCCAACTTATGTTACATTGTATGGTATGATATGTGATATGCATTGAAAATAAAAGTTTATTTTCACATTTATCGTAAGTAAAAACATTAGATTTCAAAATTTTGATTAAAAATAGTGTAAATTGAAGCATAAATTTATAAATGAAAAACATTATTCAATTTTTAAACATATTTTTCTAATCAAACTCATGTTTTGTTGAACGCAAGCCTTGAACTTACAATTTTCAGTTAAATTTTGATATTATTTACATAAAAATATGTACACAAAAAAAAGTTATATTGCTTTTTCATTTTTTCATTCCTTGAGATTATTAAATTGTTTTTAAAAATTCAAACAAATTTTAATCAATATATCATGAATTTTTATATAGAAAAATGTTTGCATTTCAACGTTGAAAAAGCAATGTTATCTCAAAAATATATAAATTATTGATAAATATAATAAACATATTTATTGTTAATTTTTTGTTGTTTGTTTGTCACACAAACTACATCTCAGGCTTTAAATCAATAAATTAATTAAAATATTTATTTCTCAAGTGTTTGGCTTTTTATTGCTGAGACTTAAATAAAGTCCAAAAAACTTTTATAATATAATTTGATAATTTATCATAAAATTAAGGGAAAACAGCGGGGATTGACATAAATAAATATAACTTAATTTGAGACAAAACTAACATTATTTAGTCATTTATATTGTATTTGATATATCAGCTGACAAACAGTTTTATTTAAATACCATTGAATGCATGCTTTTTAGTGAAAGTCAAACACGTTTTATAAATTCAATAAAAAACTTTCAAAAGCTATTCACTAAATATTCAGTATTTATATAACAACACATTTACCTCACCTTTAAAGTAGTATTAATAATATACATATAGTGTTGCCATTGCTATAGTATATGTGGCGCCCAACCAATCATTCAATCAGATTATTAAATATATTTAAAATTAATTTAAAACACATTTAAATTGATAATTTTATTACCAAAACAATGTTTTCAACATTGCATTGCATTGTAAGCCATTTGTACGCAAGTCTAGTGACAGCCATTGCTGGGGAACGGCATGTGTGGTGTCGGTGCTAATACTGTATGTCTGTGAGTATGCATTACAGGCAAACCTAACTAATAGTATCGGTTCAATGAACTTATGTCTAATCATCAATTAATATTTGGTCTTTTAATAATTTTTTTAAATCATATTTTTAAAATATTTAAATTTATGAAAAGTAATATGTGTTTAATATATTTACTATAAATTAATTATGTATTAATTAACTAAATTACTATTATGACTGTAAATCATAATAAACAACACATATATATTGTATTATATAATGTAGTAAAACGTGAATGAAATGTTAGGTATCGGTGCTAAGTCTCGTCAAACTCTAGTTTCTACGACAACCCGTTTTACCGGCAGTTTAGTGATTGAATCGATTACTTTAATCGAGATCTCCGGCCAAACAAATCTCAATTTGAATGCATTTTATTTGATTAAAGCAATTAAACAGTTGAGACAATTACTATCGTCTCCTATAATGACTATTCAAATACTAGTCTAACGTAGCGTAACATTGAATATAGTGTTTGGACTCCAGTTCTCCAATACTATGTTATCTGAGACAATAGTCTCTTACTTTTCAATCAATTGTTATTTTTATTATTCAATATTAATGTTATCTTTTATTTTTATATTAATTTATTGTTTTAATTGCAATATAAAACAAATAATTTGGTGATATTATTACATAATAAATAGAAAATTAATTAAACGAAAAAAAGAATTTTTTATTAAAATTTGTATTATATTATATTATTAAACACAATTTGATTGTATAATATATATTATATAAAATAATTAAACTCAAGCAATATAAATATAAATATTGAAGACAATAAAAATATAATAAAAAATTACACTTAAAAGATATTTTGAGACACAAGAATATTCTTATATATATTCTTAAATAGTATATACATTAAATAAATATATATATATATATATATATATATACTGTATATATTGGTGTGATGTTAGGATAATGTTAGAGTATAGTTATAGCATATAGTATATGCTATACCATGTACCGGTATAGTAACTGATCAAAGCTTAGGGATGTGAGAGCAGCGAGATTTTGGTTCAGTTTTGAACAATGGATGGCAATAACAGTACAGTTGTGTGAGTAATGTATATAAGTGTTGGTTGAGAATGTGTTTTAGTTTATACATCACTTCAATGGCAGTTGTAGGCAATGGCTATTTGGTTATTGATTTTTGTCATAAAAATTTTCAATGAGTAACTCTGACAATAACGCCCTCCCATTTGCGAAAAGGCTGTTTCCCTCAATCCATACGAAACATTAACAAAAATGGCTGCGAAGGGGAGTTATGTATGAATGGAGCAGAGATAGCCAAACGTAAGTAAATGAGCTGTTAATTGATTTTAATTAATCATTTTTAAAATTATTAAAACCCGTCCATACATTAATGTGTTTGATATCAGTTTTGTATGTTTGTCTGTTTAATAAGTTTTCAAATAATGTCATTTTTTAAAAGTGATCAATAATTTGATAAAATTTATATATCATATGAAAGATGAGAGTCAGTGCTTGTGAACGAACAGAGTATAGGCAGAGATATACTGTATATAGCAATGCCTTTCAATGTTTTTCTTCACTGTATAACAGCTATACATTAAGCTAACAGTGCTCTCTACCACTGACTCTCATAGTGTTCCCAATGACCAAACACTTAGAAACTGGTAAAAAGCCAGTGATGCTAACCGATGCCATTCTTGCATCTACCATGCCTTACATAACGTTCCTCTCATGCAATGCTATGGGAGCGGTCATCATAAATATACATATGCAATGCAATACCTATTTATGCATACAATCCATACGTTATAGTTAAACGTATACTTTTTTTTAACGCATTCATTTGTTTAAAATAATGTTAAAACAATGTTTATAATACAATTGACAGTATATATACTTATTTATCTAAAACAGAAAACTTTTTATCATATTATTATTATATTATTAGACTATACATTTATTGGCACATGTCGTGAATTAATAATATTAAATGTGCTTTTTATTGTAAATATCCATTTTAATTAAAAGCAAACTTTGTGTCTTTTTTAGCTAATTAAAACTTTGTTGTTAAAAAAATTTAATTAGTTTTTTCTGTTAGTATTATTAATAATGTTTTAATTTATTCTATATATATTAGAGATGACATTAATATGTATTCATAATATTTTTTATATTATTTTTTATATTATAATTGTGACTAAACTCTTATACTATGAGAAAACAATTTGAAAACAATTTAGTCTCCGAGTGTTTATTTAGAGTCGAAAAACACATGAAAAATAAAAATTGCTTTAATTTTATAAAAGCGGCGATTGGAGAGAGCATTGAGAGTGTTAGGGAAAGGGAGACATGAGTGTGCTATGTGTTTATATGAGAGCTTTGGGAGAGTATGTATATATGTTAGGGACATACAGTTAGGCAGTGTCTGGTGAGTTAGTGCGCCGCTCATACAGTTGAAAGGCAGCACTATTGCCATTACGTCCGTATTTTAGCCCTCTTTCTGTGTGTATCTCATGTGTCTCACTCTCCAACTTATTATTATTGATGCCCAGCATTGGCTTTAGTTGTGTGATAGACACTGAAGTGAGTGAATGAGTGCTGCATAAGGTTTTGATGCAGTTTTTGTTTATATCATAACATCTCTACTTCTACTCTAATGCTATATGTTTTTGAAGTGCATTCACATCACACACAACACATGCAGTTCAGGCATCAAAGGTAGGCACTGGTGATTAACTATTGTTTTGTTTAACTATTATAAATACATTTTACCGTTATTTTAGTTATTTCATTCAGTTTGTCATCATTTTAAACATTTTTTATTTATTTTAATTGTTTTCATTTTTGCTGTATTAATACTGCAATGAAAGAAATCAATATTTTTATTGCGATAATGATTACTCTAAATGTGTTAATTGTATTAGTGTTGAAATTTTTTTTATGTGTTAGATGATCACACAAACACACACACATACATACATACACACACATGAGTATCATTTGTCAGTCGTACTTATGATAAAAGGAAATCCGCATCACTAATGCTTAGGTATGGTATGGTATGGTATGATCCAAATATTTGACTCGACTCACAGGTATATCACAATTTATACAATCATTTGCTTTGAGGCATACTTTGCATCCACTAGACATTTGCCACATCTTTACATATAATTTATATGCATTGAAGTGTGCGCAACATTTGGATAAAGGGATGCATAAAATTTACTTAACACTACTCCTATTTATATGTAAAGTTAGTAATGATTATATTGCTTAACATTTAGCACTTGAGACTTATGTCAAACTAATACAAAAACTGTGCTTAAAGTTAATGATGCGTTTTGTAGACTGACACCATAAGAGATATACTATAGTATATAAATATATATTATACTAAAATCGTTTACAATCTATGATTTCTAATTTAATACCTCAAGTGACTCTCTCTTTCTCTCTCTCTCTCTCTCTCTCTCTCTCTCTCTCTCTCTCTCTTAATTTGACCAATACATTAAATTTAAATGACATTTATTTAAGTGGACAAAATAATATATATTATATTAGCCTAAAATTAAACCAACTCAATAATTATGAAATTATTATAATTATGATTATATAACACAATATGAATATTTGATTAGTAATTTCAAATTAAATTTGCACTTTGAAAGCATTAGAGGCATTAGTAGTGACCCCTAATGAAAATCTATTAAATATTACATACAGTGTAGACAATTTTTATTACATTTTATCTCACTTTTGTTAGCTGAATAAACTTTACACTGTATTTAAATCTATTGATCTTATGAATAGCAAAGTATTTTATAGAAATGCACACAATTTCCTGGCTATCGTTTGCAATAAATTATGATTTTAATGTTATATTTCACTACATATATGTATAAAACTATTAGTCGCTAACAACATTGATGGCTATTTTGTATTTAAAAGCAATGCTTGCAACATGTATTAATGTTATTTAATTTAAAAATGAAATGTCGGATCCCAGTCCCCACCCATTATCAAAATTATGCTTCAAATTCATGTCCTTTGCGCTCCTTTACCTCAGCTCTCTCTCTCTCTCTCTCTCTCTCTCTCTCTCTCTCTCTCTCTCTCTCTCTCTGTCTCTGTCTCTCTCTTTCTCTCAATTTGCAATATTATCCATAAACTCAGTCATGCATATTGAGACTATATATTTTTTTCTGCACTTATTTTATTATCTAAACATATATATTTAATATTTAATATTGTATAAATAGTTTATGTATAATATATAGTATTTAGATATTGTAGTGTTTAATACAATCAATAAACGAAGCAAATAGTATAAATCAAACTACAAATTGTATATTAATTTTAAAAAAGTACACACAATATATTTTGTAACTTTTTTTAAATAAAATATATATTATTATTTTTAACGCATATATTATATCAGCTGCTTTGACAACAAGAATATGTAAAAATTTTCAAACACAACACACAATTCATTTTACAAAACATTTAATAATAATAATAATATATTTTATGAAAACATTAAAACTTTGACCCAAAAGTAATTAGTAATCATTCGTTTTTTAATGTTTTTTTTTCTCTTCAACTAAATTGTTCAACTGTTTTATTAATAGTTTTTTAATACAGTATTGTACATAAAAACATAGTTAGTGTAATGCAATTTTACAACATTTTTCATTAGTTATTAGAAAATATAAAAATGATATTAAAATGAGAGAAAACAACATATCGTGTATTTACAAACACCTGTTTCCTTCTTTGACTAACTTTCAAAAGTTTTCAATATTATTATTATTATTATTTTAATAATGATATTATTATTATTTTATTAAATATTATTACACTGTTATATACTTTGGTTATATATTTTAAACCACTGTTTAATAGCATTATTGTCACTTTCTAAATGTCAATGAAATCGATTTTGCAATATTTTTAAGTATAGCTTAGAAACAAATGTAATGTAAGTTTGAATTTTAAACATTAAAAAATAGCGCATATAAAGCATGTTTTCATGTCATTTAACGATTTTCTTGTAATACATTGTATTTTGTTTTTATTTTATAATGAAATTTGATTAAAAATTATTGTAATAAATAAAAACATATAGTTTTAGTATAATTTTAAACATAAGTCATTTATACAGCACTTGTTAACACTAGTAAACTTAAAATATAATACAAGCCTTAAAGTTTAAGAGCTTTAAAATAAGTGATGACATATTACTAGTTATGATTGCGCCAAAAAATTATGTTTTAATTTTGTTCAAAAAATAAAGTTATCTTAATTTTTTAAAAATTAGTTTTTCATGATCTTGCAATTTATTTGTCCAGTAAATAGTTTATTTAACAAAGTTACATTACTCATTTTAATAATTTATGCACATTTCTCTCTCTCTCTCTCTCTCTCTCAATACACATTTATTTACTCACTCACTCACTCACTCACTTACATATACAATTTAACCAAAATTTAAAAATGTATAGTTTAATGTTTTGTTTTGAACGCACCTGCTTTTAAAAATGCATTTTTTATGTTTTATTAACAATTTTTGCTAATATTTTCTCCGATGTGTATATTTCTGTCAAAAATAAAGGAAAATTATTGTAGAGTCAGTGTTAGTCAGTGTTTATAATTTATTGCATTCATTATTGTTAACGACAATAAATGTGTTGTTGATTGTAATGTCTAATACTTATGTCGTTTTCTACTCTCCTATATTTATACAATATATTGTATATAAAGTATATTTATTCAATATATTGTATATAAATTATATTTATTCAATATGATATATTTGTCTTGAAAATTTAATTTAAATGATGAAAAGTGAAGTCATTTAGCATTTCATATACACTTTTAGTTGAGAAAAATTCAATTTATAGTAATGGAATTTTGAGTATATATTATATTTAATATATATATATAGTTATAGATTATAAATATTTTATAAATATTTCTTATTATTCTTATTATTATTACATTTATTGACTTTTTTCTCTCTCATCTCTCATTCAATATCTTATACTTTGACACTCTTATAATTTCATTGCTTTTACACATATTTTCTGCAATTCATTTTGAAAACGAATTGAATTTATGTTATCTATAAAATCTAAATAATATGAAATTGAAAAAATATATGAATAAATTTTTAGTATTTTCTTGTATACACATCTATTAACATTTCATTAATTTTATTATTTATAAGATCATTCATTTATTGCATGATATGTTTGTATTATACAAATTGTATATATTTCATAATTAAATGTTTTTTGATTAGTTTATGTAGTATAATGTGTTATTTATATATTTAACCACTTTATAAATCTACAATTTATTAAACTAATGTTAAAGCAATATATAATACTAAAATTATTTTATAAAATTTCTATATATATACCGTATATATATATAGAAAATATTTATTTAAAGAAAGTTTTTGACATATTATTAATTGTATTTATATATTAAATTGCAGTACAACAGTAAAATGATAAATATAAATTACGTTAGTTAACTTTAACACAATAATTTATATTTAAAGTGCTTTTATAATATAATTTTTAAATATTATTATATTAAGAAATCTTATTTTTATATATGAATCACATTATTAAATAGATTATATGTTTGAATTATATATTTATTAATATTAATCGGCGATTTAATTGGCGACTACTATATAGTTATATATTTTATATATAACAACATTTATGATTAAATTATTAAAGTTGTTTACTGAATATTTCCGATAAATGTTAGTCAAAATATATGACAAAGTTTATTGTTTATAACGATTGAAATTTTGTGTTATAAAAACTATAGAAAAGTTTGTATTTTCTCTATAGTTTGTATATATAATACCAAAAACAGTGTGTTTCACATATATTTTTATAAGATTGATAGTTGAAGAGTGAATGTTACAGTGAGACCAGTGATGAGTATAGCATTGATAAGACGGCTATTTTGGCGAAAAGCCGTTTCTACTATTGATATCCTGTTTCACGCTTACAGTCTCTCTCTCTCTCTCTCTCTCTCTCTCTCTCTCTCTCTCTCTCTCTCTCTCTCTCTCTCTCTCTCTCTCTCTCTTTACTCTCTGGTCTTACTTTTTTTTGAAGTATTTGTTATATCTTTTGGAAACATAAATATTTTTACTTGTATTTACAAATTGTGAGGGGAATTGAATCGGGGCTTAAATAACACAAATTAGTAGTAAGTTTGAGAATTGAGAGGATGTGTTGAGACTGATTTGGTTTAATCATTATATATAACATGTATTGTATAATATATTTATAACGTATACAGTATATAGTTATAGCTCTTCATCACAGTTAATGTGATGTTTTCAAGTGAGAGAAAAATGTTGACTCTTCTTCACTTAAACTATAATAAAACATAGATTATAACAAAATAATAATAATAAAGTAAAATTAACAAATTTATATGTCTGGTATATATTTGACTATTTTGTAGGGCATTTAATACAACAAATGATTTTAAATCAGTCTTTATAAGACCACATCCGCCGCAGCCTCCCATACGTCTCAATAGACATTACGTACAACAAGACTACACCAAACCTCAACACAAAATCAAAATCAAAAGTCGTTTTTAAATTTGTTATTTCATTTCTTACCATTTTTATATATTTACGAAGATATATATATATATATTACATTAATTAATATATAAAAGTGAAAAACAAAATCAAAAAATATTATTATTATTATTATTATTATAATTATTGAAAATTATCGTATATTAAATAAAATCGTTGCTTAAAATTATGGATTCGATGAATAAACAACTGATGTGATGATGAGCTCATCGATTATCAAAACAAATTCAGATATTTCTGTGGCAAATACGGGTATAAATCGGATTACCAGAGATGCAGACAATATATACATTACAGACAACAGGGATTTGTCACCCGATAATAGTATCAATTCTCGGAGTCAGCGCTCAGCTTCCGTGGATTCAATTGCATCGATAGCACAACAGGCGGCACATCAGCCCTCCTGTTCATCAGCAATGACTTCCATGGATGAGTTGCCTACCAAAAAAAGACGCAAACAGAGCAATCCTGTCCGATACGGCCAGACCTCACACCAAACCAATATTCTTCCCATTGCTTTGGAAACTGTTCCACGAGTTGATGATGAAGAAGATGACGACGAAAGTCTGATCGCTACCGGAATGCAAGTTTCATCACAATTGCAACGCTCGGGAAGTTTCAGTGATTTAGATGATGACAGCAATGATGATGAAGACATGGATGAAGAACCATCACTTAATGTAGAACGAAGAAAACTTCTGCAGCCAAGTATGGCTAATGTCATTAATTTTCATAAATACCAATACATGTGTCCCCACTGTAACTGTCCTTTTCTTAATGATAACGACCTTCGACTCCACATTGAAGAAGAACACGTACAGAAGATCTTGGAGAGACAACTGTTCCATCAGCAGCAGCTCAATAAATCTCTAATGAATGGTCCGAACCAATTAAGAGATTCTTTGAGTGGTTACGAACAAAATCAAAATAAATTCAATAGTAGTGACTCCCGGAGCGCCAGTTCTAGTAGTGGCAGTAATAATAACAGCCCATTGCAGTCACCTTTGGAGCATTTAGAAAGAAAGTCATTTGATGGATCATTACCACTACCTCATGGTTCCAATGATTCCAATGTTAAAGAATTTGGCAGTAATTTCCTTCCATTTCAAATGCCGCCAAACATACCTCCATTAATATCAATGAATCAATCTGGAGGTAATGTAATGACAACGACACGTGAAGGTTCCAAATCTCCCGGTCACTCAACATCTCCCGGTGCCACACCTTTATCATTGGCAATGTTTTCCAATCCAATGGCGCCATTCTTGTTCCCAATGATGCCGAGTGGAGCTAATACAGGTTCAAACGGAAGTGCAATGGGCGTCAATGTGGCAAACGGTGGTCAACAGGTCAGTTCAGGTGGCGTTAGGATTTTCAATCCTGAAGCCTATTGTGAATTGTGTAACAAAGAGTTTTGCAACAAATATTTTCTTAAGACACATAAAGCTAATAAACACGGCATCTATTCAATGGACACATTAGTCGGTCCTCAAGGCTATGGCCAACCATTCTTTACGAACACACTTAGCAACAGTTCCGGCCAGTCATCGACGGCAGCCGCGACAGCTGCCATGCAAATGCAACAATTGTTACAATCGAGTGCCGGTATTACACCTACTAGTGAAGCACTGGTAGTGACAACACCTGTGCGATCCAATGTTATTAATTTGGAGTCTTATTGTGAAATTTGTCAAAAAGAGTTTTGTAATAAGTATTTCTTGAAAAAACACAAACAAAAAATTCATGGCTTAGCAGATCCACATAATAACCAATCGCAGAGCTCATCGGCATCTCCGGGCAGTTGCAGTAACGAAGCTCACAACAAGACAGGTTCACTCAGTCCTTCATCACCCACTCAATTGGTACCCGTCTCAACCACACCGCTCAGTAGCGCCCGATCTCCGGTGGCATTAGCGGAACGACCGCAACAACAGATGACACCATCAATGGTGAGCTCACAAACCAGTTCCCCAACAAATAGCTTTGTCTGTGAAATATGCAAACAAGAGTTTTCAAACCTAATAACACTGCAAACGCATCGCTTTACCGCTCATTTTCCGACATCAATGCATGTGATGGCACCCAACCTGAGCGCTAACTTGCAAACCATTGCCGCTTCACAAGCGACCGGCGAAACGCCTGCGCACACCATTACCACATCCGCTAACCGGCTTATAGTCGGTCCCGTGTCGTCCATTACAGAGTCCGCCAACTTTGTCTTTACACCCAATAAGCTGCGAGAAATGGGTGTCATTAATGCCGACGCTTTTTGCGAAATTTGTTGCAAAGAATTTTGTAATAAATACTTTCTAAGAACCCATAAAATCAATAAACACGGCTTGAGTTTTGACTCTAACTCTTCTACTAAATCTCAGAACGGACCCAATTGTGGTGATAATAAAGGAGAAGACAGTAATAACATGTCTACTAATGATAATGATGACAGCTTTCTAGAGCCGGGACAGAGAGATCCGGCAACTTATAGCAATGGATCTGAATTTTTCAATGCCATGTCTGGTATAAACTCAGAGATGCAGTGCGAGCTGTGCTCCCGACCCTTTGGCAGTCATTACTTACTTAAAATGCATAAATTCTATTCACATAACATCCCCTATATTAAAGAAGAGGATATTAGAAGAGGATCAATGACCGCCAGTCCCGGTGCCGGCAGTGAAGTTCCTAATGATATGAAAGGTATATCAGAATCATTTGACACAACAAAAGAGCTGCAAATGAGACAACAAGAGAGTGGTAACGGACAGAATGATAGCGATAGCGATAGCGACTCTGACAGTCCAACTGGTGCTGTCAGTCAAGACCAGGCTAGTCAAGACTTACAGAAATTACAGTCAATGATTAAAGAGCTTAATTCGCAGTCCATTTTGGACAAAACGGTGTGCAATCTTTGTCGACAAGAATTTGAAAACAAATATTTCTTAAGAGTTCATATGATGAACGATCACGGAGTCATCACCACTGATGAGGCCACTCCTATGGACTCAAATGCATTTATGAGGAATCTGTTTGAAGGCAATCGACAGAACTTCCCTTTATTGCCAACTGCTTTACAATCGGCTGATTCCGAAGCATTTTGTGATATCTGTCACCGAGAGTTCTGTAGTAAATACTTTTTGAAAACCCACAAACAAAATGTCCATGGTATTTATGAGGGACCTCCTACACCTACCGAAGCAAATGCACCCTCATTTCCACAACAAATTGCAGTTTTCCCAACACACAGAAAGTCGACCGATGAAGCCGTCAATCTGGCCATTTCGCCCAACAGAAATAAATCACAATTAGGTGTCCAACAAATGATAATGTCCTCAAACAAACAGATGCCTCAATTGAGCTCTGATGGAAAGTCACGTAATGTTACGGGACGTAACTATTGTAATATATGTAATAAGGAATTATGTAACAAATACTTCATGAAGACACATATGCTTAAGATGCACGGTATCAACATTGATGAACATCCGGTCGAGGCGTCAGCCAATAGCACCATTGGTGGCGTCACTTGTGATATCTGTCAGAAAGAGTTGTGCAGCAAATACTTCCTTAAAGTACACAAACAGAACACTCACGGTATATATGAAGAGCCACCGCAACCTAAAGAGCCTCGAAATGTGGAAATGTCTTCAACTAATAGTTCTTTGGCATTGGGCATCAATGAAAAGGATCCACAAGCCGTTCACGGGATTGATCCTAACGATACAAACAACAGGTATTTTAGTCATTATACAGAAGTGTGTCCACTCTGTGAACGAAGATTTAAAAGTATTAAATGGCTTAAGACTCATATGATTAATGATCACTCGGATATTGTATCGATGAAACCAACTGATCTATCGATGTCCGGTCCAAACGCTGTTACCCCTGATTTAAGTCGATTCTGTGTTCTTTGCGGACAGAATTTTGCTGATAGGGTTGCGCTTCACATTCACTTAGTAAAAGACCACCGAACCACTGCTGAAGAATTAGGTATTAGTTCAAACATGACAGTCATGAGAAACACGCCATCGGCCACTGATTTATCACTTAAATCAGATTTACTGCCAATTGGTTTACAAATGACACAACATATGTCAGGACAGTCACAAATTAACGGCTCTACATCTCCCTCATCGCAAGGAAGCACTGGTATAACAGCTATTGTCTCCCATCACAACTCAAGTCACAACACCAATCAGTTAATAATGAATAATAATAATACTACTAATACTACTACTACTACTACTACTAATAATAATAATAATAATAATAATAATTGTCTCAACAAAATGATAAGCATTTCTTCCAACACTTGCACTACTAATACAATGACTTCAATACCGACAACTGCTATGATTACAAGTACTACTAATCCTATGTTTAACACTAACATCTCAAATACAGACACTAATAATATGATTAATATAAATAATAACAATAATAATAATAATACTAATAATATGAACACTAATGACAATTGCAACCAAATTATAAACAATTCAATTATGACAAGCAATGGCTCTAATTTGAATTCAGTTAACATCGGTGTCATTACCTGTCCTACGATCTCAACGCCACTTACATCTTCACCATCTCTGGTCACAACTGGAAATACCAGTCCCACACATACTACGGCTGTAGTCAAAGAGGAACGGTCGCCATCGGTGTATGTGTCGAGTTCATTGTCGTCAATAATTAGTAAAAGGACGGGATGTGGTACTAGGATATACCAGTGCTCGTACTGTAATTACTCGACTCGTTGGTTATCTAATCTGTACGCACACGAGAAACGCCATACAAGACTTAATACAGAAGCCGACAAAAAGTTTGTTTGTCGTGTTTGTCATCGCGCCTATCGATACAATCATTCACTTCAGCGACATATGCTTAACCATCGCTCAGGAGGTCTCATTAGTCGCGATATTAGCGCCGTTGCAATGTTAGCCTCGAGTTCCTCCAAAGGTCTGTTGTCAAGTGGTTTGCACTCAAATTCATCGGAGAAATTGCTTTCTTATGACTCGAAATTGTCTCGACTTTTACCGTCGGGATCGTTGGTTCGCCCGAATCGAGTGAAACGCTATCGCTGTTCAAAATGTAATAAAAAGTTTAGGACAAGAGATCTCTGTTTGGCTCACATTCATGTCTATCACACGGATAGTCGTAAAATAATACTATCCTCTGCTTCGGGCAAATTGGCCACTAATAGGGTGTGTAGATGTGCTTTCTGTGGGTTTACTACCAGAAACTTTGCACTCCTGAAGATACATATCAATAAAAATCACACAAAAATAACTAAAACTCCTTCCACTGATCTCACACGACTGACTAACAAAGAGACCGAAATACCACTTAATTTGCGAAAGTCTACAGAAACGACACCTAATGAGGCCCTGTCTTTAGTTACTAATAAAAATCAATCAGCTGTCTCTCCGTCCATCAGCAGTGATGACGATAGTATCAGTGGATCTCGACGTGAATCAAGCGGTCATTTGACTGTTGCTGGTGGTGATCAACAGTCTCCACAACTGCCGATGACATACGCAATGCCACAGAGCCCACCACATGCCGGCTCTTTCATAATGCAACCTTTCCTTATCACTCAACCCGACACAGAGGGTTCGCTCACAAACGACACATTTGTGCCATCGCTGGTCTACCTTCCTGTCAGCCATAAAGTCCTACAACCAGTTAGAGTGGCATTCAATCTGACACCAGCTTAAGCTTTGTATACTTAGACACCAACATCTAAGGTGTCAATTCATGATTCATATGATTGCATTCATAACAATTGTATGGAAAAGTTGTGTGGATCTGGTCTAACATAACGTGATATAGAAAATCAAAATAAACATTCCGTTATATTATTATTTTTATGATTACATGTGAAACAAATCAAAATCAACATTTATTGCTGCCATAGATTTATAAATATATAATATAATATAATATAATATATAATATAAATGTGAAGTGAGTGCCACTTTGGTGTGAACTTTCCCTATATATATATATATAGCAAACACTAAATTATGAATTATTACTTAAAAATCATCAAAACTTTAATATCAAAGCCCTGATCTCTTCCATAGCAAATCGATGTTTTGATTTATCATATAATTATCGACTGTGTGTTAAATATTTCTTATATTTTTAAGTTAACGTTATCTCCTATTCTCAGTGTTATATAGTTTTTTTTTAATTAACAAATTGGTGTTTGGTTTGGAAAAAACTTTGATAAACATCAGAAGTTGGGTCCGAAAAGCAACATAAGAGACATTTATTAATCATTGAATTAAGAAATTTAAAGATTTGTCAATAAAGACATCACATCTTAACACAATTGATTGTCATATCATATCTTCTTTTTGCATACTAATCGATAATAATGGTAATAAATTGTTTGGATTGTTCATCAAATAGACTTTCAACTGTATCCCATCCACATTATTGAACTATTGATTTATTATTAATAATTTTGTCAACTTTGGTGCACATAAATCATACCCAAACTGGTTGTCGGGTAGGGTTCGCAGTGATTCTTGCGCTACAACTCACATATCGGTGCCTGACGTGCCTTACCGTAGAGGACAACCAGAGTATTACAATATATTTGGGTTATGATTTCCCAAACCTAATCAACACTCAAAACGATATAAATGCATATATTTGTTGCCTATTTTTATCGCCAAATTAATTATGATATTTTAATTAAATCAAATTTATACTATTAAAACGTCTTAATAAATGCCTGCTTCTTGTTATGGATTGGGGTTCACTTTCAAGTCATTTTTATAGAGCCATTAAACTAATTAATTAAAGTAACGAAAATTGAAAATATCAAAAACAAATCAAAATTCTTCGCAAAAAAAAAGAAAATCCAAATTTTCAAAGATTGAAATTATTTGTAATTACGTTTGAATTCAGTGCAAAAACTGTGATTTTGTCATTCAATAATTCAGTTGTTATATAATTGCATGCTTTATATTAATAACATTTAAAAATTATTATATTTATTTAATATGAAGATATTGAAAAAAACACATTTAAACTTAAAGTTTATGGATTGCCGTTAAAAGTCAGAACTGGTTGTTATCTCTGCTCCCAAAACATGATATCTCTCTAAAGACTCTTTAAAACCACTTAAGTTATTCGTCTGTCTAACCCATTGTGTGGCAAACGCCTCAATAACTCCCCACAAATCAGTCACTTGAACATCACTTTATTGATTCATTTGTTTCAATTGGTCCGACGCCTACCTTTCTATTTGATGCACTGCTCAACACTAATGCCAAGAAATCTTTGGCACCTAAAGAGGACATCTGACACGTGAAGAAAAGATACAACATTTATATAACAAGTTTGGAAACGTTAGAAACGATTTGGAGTCAACATTGACTTCAGTTTACAGTCTTTTATACAACAAATCTATCGTTTCGTACAACAGATCAGATAAGATACCAGAAATTATTATTTGATTTCTTTATGAATATCTTTGTTAACAAACAAAAGGTAGGAATCGACCGAATATTTGCTAACATTTAGTTTTTTTAAACAAAGTTTCAAAACAAACAATAAATACAAAACACCTCAAAACATCCATACGTGGCTTAAATTGTAATTTATTTTATTATATTATTTTTAATTTATCACGTTTTGGTGAGTAATAATAAATCTTTTTGAAGGGATTGTTGAAAATCAAAAATTATAAAATATTTATTTATAGAGAGTTTATTTAAAATCCTTTTTAAGAGAAACATTTTTATTCATCAAATACTAAATAAGCAAAAAAATAAAAGAAATAGAGTTCTTAAACGATATAAAAATAATTATTATATGATATTATGTTTTAAATATATTCTAAATTTCATTTATATTATATAATATGAGCCAAAATCAAACATAAATTCTTATATATATATATTTATATATAAGAATATATCTATAAAACGAATGCACAAAATTATATTGAATTATTAAAACAAATGGTCGTCCATAACAATTGATACATTAATTTATAAAATTATATTATAAATTGCTAATCAAAATGAAAGAGTCTTTACTAATTGAGGGTTTAATGATAAATATGATAAATACAGAGAGAAATTTACTATTTTATTCTATTGTACTATAAAACCATACTTAGAGTTGTATAATATATTTGGGAAATAAAAGGAATATTTATTCCCTTTTGAATTTGCGGAATGGGTTCACAAAATACAGTATAACATAACTTAACACACAAACACACACACACACATACACATACACATACACATACACATACACATACACATACACATACACATACACATACACATACACATACACATACACATACACACATACATACACACATACATACACACACATACACACACACACATACACACACACATACATACACACATACATACATACATACACACACACATACATACACACACATACATACACACACATACATACATACATACATGCATAGACACATTGTATACTATATTATTACAATATAGCTATATTGTATACAGTGTATACTATACATAGTACACATACATATACAGTACTATACGGTATAATAATTTAATATAGAAAAGACGGTAATAATACCGATGAGAAGCACAGTATTACTATTATATATATTAATGAACGAATTGGTGTTCCCTCTCTCTCTCTCTCTCTCTCTCTCTCTCTTTGCCTTTATTTTCATCTCTTTTTATATTTTTGCTAAAAGTAATCCATGTTTTTACTCGACTTATATATTGCTATATTTATAGGTACGGCTAATATCTAACACTATTAGAGAGCATCACTACTGGTCTCCAGTGTTGCTAATTCTCATCATTTGATTCTCGAGTGCAATGCTTTGTTCACAACTAGCATATGAAATGTCTATACCTTAAGCTGAAAATTCATAGACCCATATCCTCATATCATTACTATAATGATGATTACCCCTAAATTTTTTCAGAATATAAATGCTATTCTTTTCTATAGTTATATTGTATGTATAAATTATAATTGAATGAATGTCACAATTTAATATGAAAGACATACTATTAGTGCTCTACTAAAATCATACTAAAGTATATTTAGTAATAGCAATGCCGTCGTCCTATAGCTTGAATATTAACAACAAATTATCCATAACTGTTATTCATAACTTTTATTTATATATCATATATTTATTGTTAATACTATTATTTGATTGCATTTATGTGACAAATACTGGTAAAGAGTGTGAGAGAGAAACCACAATATATGAGATGTGTTGTACTGTATATACTATATCACTATTACTATAGCGTATATTATATGTATAGACTATCATTTGCTCATCAACTATTTTATTATTAACAATACTATTGAGTTATGAGTTCAATGAGATTCATATACAACATAATGCAACTTTCATTGTCATACAATTCAATACTTACTATCCATTGTATTGTGTATACACTGTATAGTCATCCATACATTTATACGTACATAGAGTTAGAGTGCCATCGATTATCCATAATCTTAGGTGTCTTCTCATTGTAATACAATGTAATTGAAGAACACTATTACTATTACTATACTATTAATGTATTCGTTAACAAAATTCAAGTCAATGTCTGGCATTGCTTTCTGTTGCTTATTAGTCGTCTCATAGATTGCATTGAAGACCCAAATAAGAGACCCATTTAGACATTTACAGCCAATTATTTACTCCGACGACAACTTTACTACTGTTTATACCGTATATGTCATCGATTTTCAAGTGTTGCCTAAAAACCATTTATTCATTATTATTGTTTTAAATACTATTTTCAATGTCTTATGTTTTATACTCTCCATCCATTACTTTCTCATAATTTCTATTTTATTATTTTAATATTTAATTATTTAGTATTTAATAATGCTATTTATATCTTTTATAACTTATAAATGGTGTTATATTTATACAGTACTTTTTAATAATAATAATAATAATAACTAACTTTTTAATTATAAAAATATTTTTCCAAAAATTTCTAATATAGACAAATTTAATATTTTTAAAATTAAACTTTACTTAATGAATAATTGTTTATTTGCATTATATGATACAATCGAGTTTTGTTTTGTTTAATTTTAGTATATTTAGTCGTTTCAAATCAAACTATTGTTAATACACTGTATTATTGCTTTGCCTAACAGTCAACACAAAAGCACAGACAGAATAGCTATTGGGTCAGAGTTTCCTAATTTCCACTCAAACGACAATATATTAGTTTTTTAATATTAATATCAATAGACTGCAGTCATATGACATCCAAACATATATAACAAACTTTTTTCGTTTTTTCATTTGTTACAAAAATGTTGAAAATCTGTATTATATTGGAAAATACTAAACAATAAATTTAAAAATTTTGGGGATAAGAGAAATCATAATAAAATAAAATAAATGTGAATGACTCACTTTAAAAAGTTTTATTGTAGTTTTATTTCCAATTTTGGATTACCATTTAATATATTTAAAATTTAGTTAACATTTTTACTGCTTTTTTAGAAATGTTTTATACACTCAAAAGTTTAATATTTTTAGAAAAAATAATAGTTATATAAATATTAAATAAGATAATAAATTTATCTAAAATTTAATATATATATATATATATATTTCAATATTTTGCTATTTTTAAAAAACTTGATTTTATACAACAATATTATTTATTTCCAATATAACTGTTAAACACGAATCTCTAATACTTAAATCATTAATAAGTAACATAGGGTTTCGCAATGAAATCTTTAATAATATGTTTTATTTGTAAACGACGTGAAATATTAAACTAATTAAATTTGATTTACTATTAAGTATTATATTTAACATTAATTGTATTCTTCCATTTATTATATTATCAATAATTTAAAATTTATTTTAA